TTTGTGGGATCTGGCATGATATATCTGTTTCATACATTATATTGCTAATTTGTGCCATCTTTTTTGTCAGTTTTGCTAGAGGTTTGTGAATTTTATTAAACTTTTCAAAGAACTAGGTCTTTGTTTCAGATTTTCTCTATTGTTTTTGTTTTCACTTTGATTTCTGCTATCTTTTTCTTTCTTCTGCTTGCTTTGGGTTTATTTTGTAATTATTCTAGGTTCTTAAGGTAGAAGTTTAGATTATTGATTTGAGAGTTTTCCTCTTTCCTCAGCTTTGCTTTAGCTCTGTCCTGCATTTGACATGTTTTATTTTTACTCAGCCCAGTGTATTTTTTAATTTCTCTGGAGACTTCCTCTTTGACTTATGGACTGTTTAGAAGTGTTTAATTCCCAAGCTAATTGGATGCCTTCTAGTTATCTTTCCATTACTGATTTACCTTTGATTCTATTGTAGTCAGAGAACACATTTTGTATGATTTCAATTCTTTTAAGTTTGTTGGATATGTTTTATAACCCAGCATATGTCTATCTTGGTAAATGCTCCATGGGCACTGCAAAAAAAAAGTGTATTCTGCCGCTATTGGAGTTTTCTATAAATGTTGACATCCTGTTGGTTGATAGTGTCGTCGAGTTCTTCTACATCCTTGCTGATTTTCTATTTAGTTGTTCTATCAGTGGTTGAGTGGGGGTGTTCAAGTTCCCAATTATAATCATGGATTTGTCTATTTCTCTTTCTAGTCTATTAATATTAATATTTGCTTCACACATTTTGTAGCTCTGTTGTTTGATAGATACACGTTTAGAACTGCTATGTCCTCTTGGTGGATTGACCCTGTTATAAGTTTATAATGTTCCTCTCTGTTTCTGGTGGTTTTCTTTGCTCTGAAGTATACTTTATCTGCTATTAATATAGCTGCTCTTTTGCAAATACTTTCGCTCAGTCTGTGGCTTATTTTTTCATTCTCTTGGTCAATAATTTCTTTCTTTGTCTTTAGTTTTAAAAGTCTATGCTGTATCTTATGGATTTCTATGGGTTTGTCCTTTTTAGAGTTTAACTTCTTTATTACATTTGGAAAGTTTTCAACATTGTTTCCTCCGTGCTTTTCCAGCCCTTTCCCTTTCCTGCCCCCCTGCTGGGCTTCCCACACTGTGAATGTCAGATCTTTGGTTGTCATCCCATAGGTCCATGAGACTCCACTCATTTTTTCAATACATTTTGTTTCTCAGATTGGGTAATTTTTACTGTTCTGTCTTCCAAATCACTGATTCTTTCCTCTGTTCCCTTCATTCTGTCACTGAGCCCATCCACTGAGCTTTTGGTTGTTTTTATTGCATTTTCCAGTTCTAAAATTTCCATTTAGTTCTTCTGTTTCTTTGCTGGGACTTTCTATTTGTTTGTTCCTGTGTGTTCATAAATTTTGTGCTGAAAGCACTTATGGCTGCTTTAAAATCTTCATAAGACAATTCTAACATTTGTCATCCTCATGTTGGCATCTACTATTGTCTTTTTCATTCAGTTTGAGATATTCCTTGTATTGGTATAAAGAGGGATTCTCGATTGAAATCTAAACATTTTGCGTATTATAAGACTGGATCTTATTTAAACTTTCTGTTTTATTTGGCTTCCTCTGACACCACTTCAGAAATGAAAGTGGGTGGCTGTCTCGTTACTGCCATGTAGGGGTAGACATCCAGGTCCCCACTCAGCCTCTGCTGCTGCCTGAGGTGTGTGCATGCGCATGTGTGTGCACGTGTGCATGTGAGTGCATATGTGTGTGGTGCTCCTCATTACTGCTGGGTGGGGGTGGGAGTCCTGCTGCCCATGTGACCTCTATAGACACCTTAGTGTGGAGGGGGGATGGGGAAGATGGGGGGCAGAGAAGGGTATGTGGCCTTGTTACTGCTGGATCCTGATAAAAGTTCTAACTCCCCACTAGTCTTCCTGATCCCACCCAGTGCCTAGAGAGACAGTGGTTGAAAGTCTAAGCTCCCCATGTGGTCTCTCCTGACACTGCCAGGGTAGAAGGAGGATGCTCCTTGTTACAACCTGGTGAGGGTAGAGGTCCAGAGTCCCCACTCAGTCTTTGCTGGCACAGGAAGGGTGGGGCCACAGGTTTCTCTGTGGTGTTTAGCCGGCGTAGAGTGGTTATTCTCAAAAGACTTCTGTCTTGTTAGGCTGTCCTTGTGAAAGAATGCAATGTTGAAGTTGCAAGAAGCTTAGACCCCCATAATGTTTCAAAGGCTGCCCTTTCTTAATCCTTTGGCCAGAGAGAGCAGGCTTGTGTTGGGGCTTCTTTTTGTCTGTACTTGTTGGAGGCAAAAAGGAAATCCAGGGAACTTTCCACCGTGTGGTTCCTTGGGTCCTGAGGTTTCCAGCCAGTCTGCCTTCTCTCCACCTTTCAGAGTCTTCTCATGTTTCTTTCATATAAAATTTTCAGGGTTTTTTGTTGTACTTAAGGGAAGGATAGGGAAAAATAAGTCTACCTCACTTCCATCAGTTTTATTTTGTGTAGATTATTTCTACCAGTAATAGTCACAAAGGATTAGAGCAAAGAATGCAAGTCCATATTTATTTCTTAGAGCAAAGAGCAAAGAATATTAGAGCAAAAGTCATGGGATATGGATGTAGAATCAAAACATCCTATTTTAATGGTTTTTATGTGGGCTATACATTGACCACCATGCTAAGCGTGAGTACAAAGAGGTCTGCGACAATGATCCTGGTCTCAAGTAGCATGCAGTCTAGTTAGGAAGCCAAGGTGTGGATTGCAACACGGATGTGCCCCACAAAGCAGCAACTACCAAGTGCTCAATGAGCCGTGCAGTTTGTCAGAGAAGAGTAATGTCAAGAAGGGGTGGCCTGGGAGGTCTCACATTTCACAGAAGAGGCAGAATGTCAACTAAGCTCAGAAAAACCAGACATGGTTATGACGGGAGGCGGCAGCTGGTGAAAAGGCATCAAAGTCGGGAGAATGGAACTGACAAAGGTACAGGTCAGTATTATTAATAATAAAAAACACAATACTTAATTATAGGGTATGTATTGGGTTCTGGGCACCATGCCAAACACCTTTCATGGATTGGTTTGTATCATCCCTCGTGCATATGCCTTGGACATATTGTACAAATTATTTTCTGTTTTACAGATGAGGAAACTGAGGCTCAGGGAGGTAACTTCCCCAAACTCACACAACTGTACTAAGAAGAAGAGCTAGGATTCATGCTGAGGTCTGTCTGAAACATCTTGAGCAGTACCCTTTGAATGCTTGAATTACACATGGCATTTGGCTAGAACAGAGGATTAACTTGGGCAAAGAGAAGAGAATAAGGGTGGAAATTGAGGTGAGATGTGTGAGCCCTTCCGTTTTGAGCAAGAGGGCTCCCTGGACATTTTTGAGCAGAGGGGTGAGAGCCTTTTTGGGGACAGCAAGTAGAGGAGACCTCGGATGGAGGAAGGGAAATGAATGGGAAGAGGGCCTGGCTTCCATCGTGTGAGCTGAGAAAGCAGACCTCAAACTGGCCTCTGCACAAAATCCCTTGTTGGCTGACCTCGAATGTTGTTTCAGAATTGCTAGTAAGACAAAAATCTTCCAATGGGGCTCATTCTATTTTTCTCTCTCTTTAATAAAAATGTTCTGTTAGGAGCTTTTTAAGGAAAACATTTAGAGTTTGTCAACAGAGACTTTGAGATATGATGGGTTCATTTGTATTTAGCTGTTGGCTCCTTATCTTTAAAATGTCAGGTTACTGAGTCATGCTTAGTCATTCATTCAGGGCCTGGTTAGGTTAATTAAACACAATGTGAGTAGACAGAATGACATCACATACTTCCTTCAAAAGACACAGAGGAGAAATAGAGGGGAAGAGAAGGATTCTAATAGAATTTTGTTCCATAAGACTGAATAAGACCCATGGAAAAAAATAACAATCAGACAATTAGATTCCAGTGAGCTCTGAGGTGGCACGGCTGTGAGAGAACAGTCAAGACATCGTACTGATGATTCACAAACACTTCCTGTCAACACAGGGAGGGAAGGCCAAAGAAGTTCACAATATGGGAAGAACAACAAAACATTTCCAAAAACATTTCATGGAACACCAATTCCATGGAATAATCTGAGAGAAAAAAAAAAGAGTCTCCATGGTTTGTGAAAAACTCTAGGTTAAACAAATGTTTCTTTACTGCAGGCCTTTTCAGAGCCTTTAAAATTTTAAAGTGCATTATGAACTACTAAGAGGGGATATAATATGCAGGGTTGCCAAATCTACTTGTTCACAGAAATCCTCCCACCTCCACTTTTTTTTTTTTGGTCATGGAGATTTCTCATGACTGGTACTTCACACCTCACCTTCCACAAGTTCAGAGACAGGAAAAGACTGATTAAGACATGACACAGGCCAGGCGTGGTGGCTCACGCCTGTAATCCTAGCACTCTGGGAGGCCGAGGCGGGCGGATTGTTTGAGCTCAGGAGTTCGAGACCAGCCTGAGCAAGAGCAAGACCCCGTCTCTACTAAAAATAGAAAGAAATTAATCGGACAACTAAAAATATATAGAAAAAATTAGGCGGGCATGGTGGCGCATGCCTGTAGTCCCAGCTACTCGGGAGGCTGAGGCAGGAGGATCGCTTGAGCCCAGGAGTCTGAGGTTGCTGTGAGCTAGGCTGACGCCACGGCACTCACTCTAGCCAGGGCAACAGAGTGAGACTCTGTCTCAAAAAAAAAAAAAAAAAGACATGACACAGAACTGTAGCCCCAGCTGTAGATTTTTCTCTGGCGTCTCTAAGACGTGCTTGTTGTGTGCTTCTAAGATTACTTGAGAGCTAAATGGATATTTTCTATTCAAATCAAAATTTACAAAACCAAGTAATTTTTTTAAAAAAACCCCAAATTTCTCTCCCCAACCCTCCAAACTACCAAATGAATCAATAAACCAGCTCATGAGAGGAAATTGCACCTATTTTATATACTTTTTAAAAATCAGTGCTCAGTTATAATCAGATTATAAAACGAATCCCATTGCCACCTCTTTCCGGCTGCCGGGTTGTGAGCCACGCGTCCCGGGTTCTCCGTGGCTCCCTTGCGGCTGGCGGGCGCACAGCTGGGCCTCCAGCGCCAGCTGATCAAAGCAGCTGTTGGGAAGCGCTCTGGTGTCTCTCCTGGAGGCCCGGGGGATGTTCTGGAACTCCTCCAAGGCCGGGTCTTTCCCTTGGGAGCTCCGCCGCACCCTCTGCCCCTTTTTCTTAATGGCTTCCTTGATGCCCTCGATGTGGCACTTTTCCTCCTTCTCGGCGTTCAGCTTCAGGACGTGGTGGTTCTTCTCCCGCAGGACACTGAGCTCCTGGAGGTGCTGCACTTTGTCCCTGGTGGTCTGGTGCACGTGACTCCTGGCCTGCCGGATCTTCTGATCTGCCAACTCCACCAGTATCCTCTTGTGGGCCTTCCTCTGCTCCTCGGACTCTCCCGCGCGCCACATGACCTGCTGGAGCTGCTCTTCCTCCTTCTGGGCCTTGTCCCTTAGCTCTCGGTGCCGCTCCTCAATCAGGCCCTGGTGGATCTCTTGGAACCGCTGGAACCTCTGCTCCAGCGACAGCTTCCTAAGGAGCTCCTCGGCCTTGGCCTGGCAGTCCATGAGGACCTTCCGCGCCTGGTAATTGACGAGGGAGCTCAGGTTGGTCTCCTGGACCTTCTTCTGGCACTCCATGGCGCGCAGGTGCCTCTTGTGACAGGCCTCCTCCAGCTTCTCCTGCAGGTGCAGGCTGTGCTGCTCCTGCAGGCTCCGCAGCGTCCTCTCCTGCTCCAGCAGCCGCTGCCTCTGGCACTGCTTGCGGTGCTCAGCCTGGGCGCGCACCTTCTCCAGCCTCTCCTGGCGCTGATTCGCCCGGTCCTCCAATTCCGCCCTCCACCAGCTCTCCTCCTGGACCGTGTCCTTCACCTGGCTGTCCCGCCGCCGGCCACGCTTCTCGCGGCACGGGCGGGTCTTACGCTGGTCCTTCTCCCGCCGCCACTGCTCCTGGCTGTGCAGCAGCAGCAGCCTGCGCTCCCTCTCCAGGGTCACGTGGACCTGCTGGTCCGAGCGCTTCAGCTCCTCCCAGGCCTCAGCCGCCTGCTGCTGCAGCTCCCGCATCCTCTGGGACTTTTCGAGGCGGGCCAGCACCAGGGCCACGATCTTCTGGTCCGTGGAGGACATCACCGCCTCTTCCAGCTTGTTCTTGAGGGTCTGGGCGTGCTGGCTCTGCATCTCTCTGCTGGAGACCGAGGGCTGGGAGTGAGGACTGGCTACCGACGCGGCCAGGTCGCTGCTGTCTCTCCGCCGGGCGCACACGCAGGCGGACCGCGTCCTGAACTTTTGGGAGAGCACAGAAGACTTCTCCGTGGGAACTGAGGAAGAAGACCAGCGACCCAGATGTCTGCAGACCGGCGCTGCCCACTGGCCCCCACTCTGTGCCTTTTCCAGTCCGCCAGCTCCGCTCGGGGCAGTGCACGCTCTCCCGTGGTAAGGCGGAGGCGAGTCTCCCTGGGCCAGCGGGGAGTGCGCGCAGGGCTGCGGCGGGGACTCCTGCTGCCAGCCGCGGCTGCGCTTGGTCCCGGCCTCCCCCCAGGCACCTTCCAGGCGCCTGAAGCGTGGCGGGTGCTTTCTAGCGCGGTCCGGGGCCCTCCCGGCCACGTCGCTCAGGCTGCGGCTTCCCCGCGGTGAGGCTGCGTACCCGCACCCGCGAGGTCGCGAGGTGGGCAGACAGCGCGGGTGCAGCCAGGGCGCCCCATCCTCCCTCCCCGCGCCCGGAGTCCTTGCCCAGCAGCACGGGGCGGGCTCGGTCCCGGGCCCCGGCCCGCCCAGCCGCAGCGTGGACTCGCCCTCTGAGCCGGGCGGCGGGGGCCCCCAGAGGTCCCGGCGGGGCAGGGCCTTGCAGTGGCCGAAGCCCCCCATGCTCATTGCGGGCGCGCCCGGTGTCTGTGCCAGGGTCCCCGGGCCTCCAGGGGCTCTGCGGACAGCCGCCCCACCCGTCCCCTCCCTCGGATCCCGGTCCGGGTCTCCTGTGACGTTCCAGCCACTTCACAATGCGTCCTGCGCCGCCCGGTCTCCGCAGCCCTCGACCCTCGCCGGCAGCCGCCTACCCCGGCCTTGCTGATACTCCGAGGACTGCAAGAGGGGCCAGAGTGGGAGGAGCGCGGGGCTGGTGGGAGGTGCCGTAAGAAATCAGGGGTGACATTTAGAGCTGACGGTGCATAGTGACCACCCGCCTGTGTTTCAGGCAGAAATTTGAACTTGCATTTGTACACCTTAAAGTAGTGGGATTTTAAGAGAGCTCAGGTGATGGCCTCTCTCTGAGAATGGAGTGGGGGTAGGGTCGAGATGCAGTGGCGGGGTGCAGGGTGCGGTGGGGGCTTGGGTCACCCTCAGCGCGGATTCGCCATCCCTGTATCTGTGCACCCCTGCAAGGTGCTCAGATGAAGCGGCCGAGCAAGCACATTAACGCACGGCACCAGCCTTTTGCCCTTTTCAGTTAGCAAGCCCAAAGTTAAGCTTCCGTGTTTACTTTTTTAAACTTTAGAACAAGAAAAAGACGATTCTATCTTTCCCTAATGTGACAATTACTGCTTTTGCCATAACGTGAAGGTTGTGTGTTCATTTCTGAAACAGCAGCAGTGAACACTACCCTGAAATCACATTGTTTTTTGTCCTTTTCTCCCAATTTTGAGGGATTCTTTTTCCTTGTTGAGGCACCCTGGGCTAATGGGAAAAACATTGGATTTAGTCGTGCAAAGGAGTTTGAATCTCCTCTGCCACTTTCCACCCACGTGATCTTTGGCAGGTTCCTTGACTTTCCTGACTCTCCAGTTCTGGAAAGGAGGGATGGCAGGGCCCAGGCCTGATCGTGTCAGCACTGCAGGGCCGTTGTGAAGGTCAGATGAAACTCTGTACGGAGAGCTTAGCACCAGAATGCACTCAATAAATATTATTTTGATGCCCTTCTAGGCTTCAGTGAAAATTTAAGACTTAAAGTAATACGTGGATTTACAAAAAATTCTACAGTTTTCTATCTTAAGAAAAAAAGAATGAAATTAATGTAATCCTAAAGTTTAGGTAAAGGCGAGAGTGCTAGAAAGGGGTGACCCCAGACTCTGTCATGTCCACACGGCACTGTGGATCTTGGCTATATCCCTTCCCTTCTCTGGGGTTGCTATGGTCTGACTGTTTGTCCCAAAATTGATGCGTTGAAACCCGATCACCAATGTAATGGTATTAGGAAGTAGGACTTTTGGGAGGTGATTAGGTCATGGGGTGGAGGCCTAATAAACGGGATTAGTGTCCTTATAAAAGGGATCCCAGGGAACTCCCTTGTCCCTTCTGCCATGTGAGAACACAGTGTAAAGATGACCAACTCCCTTGTCCCTTCTGCCATGTGAGAACACAGTGTAAAGATGACCATCTATGAACCAGGAAGGGGGCCCTCACCAGACACCGAATCTACCGGTGCCTTGATCTTGGACTTCTTAGCTCTCAGAATCGAGAAATAAATTTCTTTTGTTTATAAGCCACCCAGTCTATGGTATTTTGTTAATAATATCCAGAATAGGCTAAGACAGGGGTGAAATAAGGAAACAGTTCTAGACAGCATTCTCCAAACATGACCACTCCTTAAAGAAGAAAATTGAGTATTTATCCATGCCAATCCTCTTCCTTCACATCTCCTTGGAGCCTCACGGCAACTCCAGCTAGGCGGGGGCAGTAGAATTGACAACATTTTCCTTAGGACAAATCTGAGACTTCCTTAGGCCATATTAACTGATTTCCCCAAGGCCCCTTGGTCAATGGCAGGAATTTTGACTTCAGATTCACTTCTATTTCTTTTTTTTTTTCTTTCAGCATATTATGGGGGTACAAATGTTTAGGTTACATCTGTTGGCCTTGCCCCCCAGCCCAAGTCTGAGCTTCAAGCCTGTCCATCCCCCAGATGGTGCGCATCGCACTCTTTGTGTATGCGTATACCCGTCCCCTTCTCTCCCCTCCCCCCTGCCCGACATCCAATAAATGTTACTCTTATATGTGCACTTACGTGTTGATCCGTTAATACAATTTGATGGTGAGTATATGTGGTGCTTGTTTTTCTATTCTTGGGATAGTTCACTTAGTAGAATGGGTTCCAGCTCTTTCCAGGAGAATACAAGAGGTGCTATATCATCATTGTTTCTTAAAGCTGAATAGTACTCCATGGTATACATATACCACATTTTATTAATCCACTCATGTATTGATGGACACTTGGGTTGTTTCCACTTCTTTGCA